AGGGAGAAAGAGAGAGAGAGGAGCAGCGGCCTTTCTTCGGGGCCGCGTTAATGAGCCCCTCGAGCATGTGCCTACACTGCCAAAGCAGTTTGAATAACGTATCGAATGGAATCATCGGAAGCCTTGCGCCTCCTCACCCCATTTCACGCGCGTGTTTGTGTGTGTGTGTGTCGCTGCACTCTCGTGTGGATTGAACGTGTGTGTGTGTGTGTGTGTGTGTGTGTGTGTGTGTGTGTGTGTGTGTGGCATGATGCTGCTTATCGTCGGCTCGTATAAACAAAGTGGTGGTATTGATAAGTGGAGGGGGCCGTTCGTTATTCTGCTTTGGAGTGCGACGAGCGGCCATCACGTCACAGTTAAAACAATTTAGAGCGTTTGTTTGCGCCTGTGTGTGTGTGTGTGTGTGTGCGCGCGCGTGCGCGCTTTGCGGGGCACACGCGTCCAGCAAGGCCACGTGTGGGTACGCCCCTTGGGACGCCCCGTCTGCTCCTCTCTCTCTCTCTCTCTCTCTCTCTCTCTCTCTCTCTCTCTCTCTCTCTCTCCCCCCCTCTCTCTCTCTCCCCCCCCTCCCCTCTCTCTCTCCCACAGCAGCGCGGCGTGCGCGTGGCGATCCCGCTTTGCGTGAATCCCTGTGCGACCCTACACCCTACACGTCCACACCTACACCCCGCCTGTGTCCACCGTCCGTCCGCCTGCCTGTCGTGTCCGTCCGTCCGTCCGTCCGTCCGTGTCCGAGCGCGTCGCCCGTATCTCCCCTCTCCATCAATTCGATTGGCTCGGCCAAAATATCCGGCGGCCGTAGTAAACAAATCTGTGTATAACATAACGCCCCCTCCCTCTCCCTACCGCCCCCTCCCTCTCGCTCCCGCGCTCTCTCTAACGGCCCGGTAATTGGGTGGTGTATGGCCGCGCCGCGACTCGGCAGCGCGCGGAGGGGGAGGGGGAGGGGGAGGGGGAGGAGGGGAGCGAGCCAGAACGAGCTGCTTGTGCTGCGCGAGTTAGCGTCAACTTGTGAAGAACTTGACAAATTGCGTGCCGCGGGGGCGGGGCGACGCGGGGCGACGCGGGGCGACGCGGAGGGGCTGCTCTTTACCTGCCGAGAATGATGTTATCATCAGAGCGGTGAATCATAGCAAGACACTAGGAAGACGGGGAAGATGGCGCGGCACGCGAGCGGCAACTCGACCCCGGGCAGCAGTGTTCGGACTTTTCAGCCGAGTCGACTGACTGAGAAGGTAAGCGACTGAGCCGCCAGCCGGCAGCGCGCGGCATCGACTCACATTGTTGTGCGGCAGCGGTGGTCGCTCCACTGGCGGAGCTGCTACGAATGCCGCAGTCGGCATCCGTCGCCGGCGACTCAGTCGCTTCAGTCAGTCGAACACCGCCGGGCAGACCGGCTGCGAGGACATCGGGCTCAAATTGTGAAAGGGTGGGCTTGAAGGGGAGAGGCTTGACCCCTTTGGCGCCAAGAAAGCCGCCTGAAAGTTGGGCAAAAAGCAACACTTTGTCCCTGCGAATAGGCAAAAAGCAACACTTTGTCACTGCGAATAGGCAAAAAGCAACACTTTGTCTCTGCAAGTAGGCCAGCCAAAAGCGCTGCCGGGCGGGTCGCCGGACCACTGAGTGAGCCGTGACTGCGCCCCGGCTGTGTCTGCCACTGCTTCACTGTTTGCGGAAATGATCCGGCCGCGGCCGCCCCGCGTTTTGATTCGCATCTAAAGAAAGGAAGGGAATAATGGCGTAGCGAGCACCGCAGCCCTGTTTCCCCTGTTTCGCCTGTTTGGCGGGTTAGGTCGGCACGCCCCAGGCCCGAGGCACGCCCGGGTGGAGGCGGGCAGGCAGGCAGGCAGGCAGCCCGGCCCGGGGCTGGATGGGAGGGGAAGGGGTAGGGGAGGGACAAGGGCGGCATCATCACCCCGCAGACTCAATGATCTGCTGCATACACAGCCAGAGCGCCAGAACGCCAGCACAGCGCCCCACCCCAGCCACAGCGCCAGCCGGAGCGCCAGGCCACGCCAGGCCTGCAGAGCGATTCCGCACACCGTTCCGTCGCTCTGTCTCTCTCTCTCGCACCCACACGGCCGGCCCCACATGAGTGCGAGTGAGACAGAGCGACGAAAGCTCTGTTCGGAATCAGCCTGCTGCTGGGCCTTGTTGTGGCTTGGACCACTCGCTGCTAATTACCATACTCATCCCTCTCTCTCTCTCTCTCTCTCCCTCCCTCTCTCCCTCTGCCTCTCTTACTCCCCCCTCCCTCGACCCCTCCTACGCCAATCCGCCGCTCGGACTGTCGGCCTGTTTGTCTGCCGCCAAACTGTACTTCCCCATGTGCCTTGGCCGACTATTTAGGGCCACAAGTGTCACAGCGCCCCGTTTTATTATACTAAAAAAAAGTGGTATTTTTATTTTTTTATATTTGCCTGCCATGTGCGGATGGGTGTGAACCATATGGGCGTCGCATCAACAGCATGTGTGTGCGTATGCGCGATGTGGTGCACGATTTTCCATAGCCGAGAATTAATGTTGCGATCATCCTGTCGTTGTAATTGTCATTGATGGAGCCAGGCTGACCGGTACGGTCTCTACTGCGTCACACACACCAACACACACACACACACACACACACACGCACAGGGAGCTTATACGCCGCTGCTCGGGATGAGGCATGTGAGGAGCCGCGTGCGATTTAATGAAGTGAGGACACGTTACACGCGCGCGCGCGTGTGTTTGTGTGTGTGTATGTGTGTGTGCGCGCGCGTGTGTGTGTGTGCGTGCGTGTGTGTGCGCGTGCCAGCTTTGCGCCACCTCAGCGGTCACGGCCACGTAAGTTGATCACTGCCGCCTGTGTTGTCAAAGAGGCCCGTTTGATCACGGCGCCGTAATCATCTCATGGCGACGTTATTTGCAACATTACAAATTCATCTTATTCCTGCCTCCTCGCTTCCTGGCCTGCCTGGCCCGCTTGGCGCTCTTGGCCCAGCTTCCCCCTCCCCTTTTTCTTCCTTGCTCCGGGGTTTGACGTAAGCCTCAGACTGATATAGTCTTCTCGGCCGGGAAACGGTCGGGGTGGCGCTGCCTGCTGCCTGCCGGCTGCTGGGGCGGTTCGCTTCCAGTGGCTGCGGCAAAGCAAGGGAGGTAGGGGTGGGGGTGGGTTAAAGCTAGCCTCAGGTGGAATCTCTGTGTGCGTCAGTTTGGGGCCCGGCAGCCAGGCCGCGCCCATGCCAAGCCCATGCCATGCCTGGCTTCGTTCCCGGTGCACATCCTTGTTGTCATTGAAAAGGACTGCGTCGAGGACTGCGTCGAGGACTGCGTGGAAGGGGGAAGCCCCCCGATGTCCCACGACTGCCCGCCGGCCTGCCTGCCCGTCAGGTCGACTCTCCGCCTTTCTTCGGACCCTCTCGCTCCGTCCCTCTCCCGCTCTCCTTGATTGCTCAATTAAAACTTTTAAAGCCCCTCGTAAACCCCAATGGAAATAGACATACCTCTGTCTCCTTTCAATGGCTGTCCGAATTCGTCTGCCATCTTCGTTTGATCCCTGCCTGGTCTCTCTTTCAGTCTTTCATCATTTCTCTTCACCCTTTGCTCCTCTCTTGCGACTCCTTGCTTCTCCGCTGCGCCGAGCTGCGCCCTCTCCAAGCCTTTCGTTCCTCTCTTCCAAGACGAGGGAGAAGGAGAGCGTTTTTTCCCTCCAACTTTTAATTTCGCTCGGCTCGGCCTGGCCCGGCCTGGCTCGCCGGGGAAGTGTCGGAATCAGCCCTTTCGGTCTCCCGGTCCCCTCCGGTCCCCCGCGTCTTGTTTCGCTAATGACGACCGCCTGTTAAAAGCCCCGGCCGGCGGGCGGGCGGGGAGGCGGCGGGGCACAAAACAAACGAGCGCGTGGCGGGAATCGAACCCGCCACCCGGGACTCCGTAGGCCAGGGCGCTAACCGCTCGGCTGGGCCGTCCTGCTGAGAATGACAAGCCGCAGATTGGCGTCCGACCCTCGACGCGGCACCGGTGACCGTTGCGACGGTTGTAAGTTCTCTGCCTTTCCGGAAGCGCTAACAGCAGACTGATTCAGAGAGTCGTTTTCGTCTCTCTGTCTCTCTCGCACCTATAATGGTCGTCCCACGAGTGCGAGAGAGACAGAGCGACGAAGACGATTCTCGGAATCAGTCTGCAGGGTTGTTCAGGCCGCACTGTCAAACTTTCGGACGAGACGAGTCGGGCTGTCGGGCGCGGCGACGCGGCGTCGCCTCGCGTGGGGCGGGAAAGAAGGCGCTGCTGGTGGTGCTGGTGGTGCTGCTTGTGAATAAGGGTTGGCGGCGCTCGGCTCGGCGCGGTTGCGGCCAGACAGTTGTGCCAACACTGTGGCGGAGCGGCACGGAGCGGCACGGAGTGGCGCCGGCCGCTCGTTTATTTCATTGTAGCGTCGCGAGCGTTTCCAGAAGGGAGTTGTCTCGCTTTACGAGCGGCCCACTGGCCGGGCCGGGCCGGGCCCACTGCAGACCGATTCCGAGAGTCGTTTTCGTCGCTCTGTCTCTCTCGCACGCATGGGGCGTCCTGCGTCGGTGCGAGAGAGACAGAGCGACGAAAACGACTCTTCCGGAATCAGTGGGCTGGCTGGGCCCGTCCGCGGCAGCTCTGGTCCGAACAGCGCGCCGCTTGCTCGTCGCTCTGCCTCTCTCGCTTCACCACGCGACGCCCCGCGACACCCCGCGAGTGCGAGGGAGACAGAGCGTCGACAGGCCCATCCCGGCGCGCTGCTGCCTGGCTGCCGCCTTCACTGTAAAAGCTTTATTGGGTGTCCTCGGCCGGCCGGCCCCGCGGCCGCGCGCTCGAGGAGGGCCGCCTGTTAGTCTAGTCGTCTACTCTTCGAATCGAATGGAGCCGCAGTGCCCGGCCGCGCCTCCCTCACAGTGTAGTGCATGCGGCGTGCGCGGCGCGGCGCGTTTCGGTCGTTCCGGTTCGACAGATGGCAGATTGGAGGTTTGAGTGCGCGGTTGCTTCGCCTGTTGCAGACTCGTCGGCCGGCGGCAAGCGGCGCCGCAAGGAGGCCGTGTCCTCGACGGACGGCAACGCGTCCGGCGAGTCCTCGCTCAGCGACCGGGACAGCGTGCCCGAGGCCTCGGCGGACCGCAAGCGCAAGAAGGCGCGCACCACCTTCACCGGCCGCCAGATCTTCGAGCTGGAGAAGCAGTTCGAGGTCAAGAAGTACCTGTCGTCGTCCGAGCGGGCCGAGATGGCCCGGCTGCTGGGCGTCACCGATACCCAGGTGGGTGGTAACGACGACAACGCAACGGTAGCAGCAACAACAACATCTACAGCAGCAGCAACGACACCCAATTAAAGCGCAGAGGCGCGTTGAACGCGCACTGTAGGTGTGTGGGGCCGAGAGGGCCTCGTCGTGCAGCTTGCAGTGCAGCGCCCCGATTGGTCCGCTTATCGCCGCGTTTAGGCCTCCAGGCGCCTTTAGGCCGGCCCTTTAATTCGAAGCGGCCGGACACGGTCGTTGTGGCGGTCGTTGTGACGCCATCCCGCGATAGTGTAGTGGAGGGCCGCCGTCCACGACGTCCACGACGTCTCCGATCCGCCCGATGAGAAATGCACCATAAAAGTGGGGACCCTGCCGGACCCGGCAGGACCCAGCAGGACCCGGAGCTGCCCGTCGGTCTCTCTCTGCGTGACGCGGTGGAGGGCCAGGCTCGAACACCGGCAGCAGACCGATTCCGAGAGCCGCCCCATGAGTGCGAGAGAGACAGAGCGGAATCATTCTGCTGGACATGGCCGTAGCGGTCTTCTCGCTCGGATCGGAATGCGGCGCTGGTGGCAGCCAGCAGGACCAGCGGGCTGCCAGCAGATAAAAGTCGATTTTTGCGTTCGGGTGAGAGGTTTGGCGTGCCGACTCCAACTCCAGCATTACCCACCTCGCTCCCCCGAAATCGAATACAGTGGCGCAGCGAAGAACGCGAGGAACCGCCGTCGCCATCCCGAGATTGGCAGCGTTATGTTGCTTCCTTTTTTCCGGTCAGCCTCTTGCCGTGGTGCCGTCAGGCCGCGGTGCCGCGCCCCGCGACGCCGTCGAGGCCGTGGAGGTGGTGGGGGCCGCGAAGCACGGCGAAGCACGGCGAAGCACGCGACGGGCAGGTGCACGACGACGGCGAGCGTGGCGAGCGCAGTGACCCGCGCAGCGCCCCGCCCGCCCGCCCCGCCCCGCCCCGCCCCGCCCCGCCCCGCCCCGCCCCGCCCCGCCCCGCCGCGCCGCGACACGTCATTTGTCGCGGGATGATTTACGCCTCATCTGGTCTCGATACCCCGATGAGCGTCGTGAGCGTCATGAGCTTGTCGCACGAGCGGGACTTGGCGTGCGGCCGGCGTCGTCTCGCAGTCACGCGACAGGGCGGCGTGCCGCGGCGTGGCGTTCAAGTGCGCACGCTCGGAGCTCCAACGGAGACGTGTCGGCCCGCCACGCCGCGCCACGCCCCGCCCCGCCCCACGCGGCACGGGTTCGCAACGCGGTCCTCGGTGGCGGGGCTGGCGAGGCTGGGGCGGGGCGGACAAAAACAGATCAATCCGGCCGGAATGTTGCCGCGTATTCCATTCCCCGTTGTCACGCAATGCTCAAACCCCGGCAAATTCCTCGATATAGAGGCGATCCACTCCGCCCGCCGATGGGCGTGGCGGCGGGGCGGAAAAAAAAACTTGACGCGTCGCGTTGTAATCCGGGTGGCGGGACCTGGCGGGACCCGCGCCGCGCGGGCAGCGCACTTAAATGTGGTAATCTCTGGCTGCTCTGTTGCTGCCACCGCGTCGTCCTGATGATGATCCAACTTCTCAAAGGACTGCTGGGCCTCAAACGTTTATTTTGGACCGCCGCTCGTAATCTGTCCCCCGTCCGCCCGCCTGTCTGCCCGCCTGTCGGTCAGTTCCTTCGGCGCGGCGCGGCGCGGCGCGGCCCTCCGCGTGGTGCATCCCGAACCCCGCTGGATGTCGAAACATCTTCGTCGCTCTGTCCTCTCGGACGCGGTGGAGTCGCTTTGGAGTGGAAACTTGACAGGGGGAAATACGCTCTGTCGGACGCGGTGAATTCGCTTTGGGATGAACATCTTCCTCGTCCAAGGGCACGGCGACCAGGTTGGATAGGCTGGCGGCGGGCCGGTCATCGCGCCCCCGACCTTGCGGCAAGCGTGCGGCGAATGAGATGCGGGCGGGCCGGAGCAAGAGGTCTGGTTCAACGCGGGCCCATCACTTCAGCCATGGCTCTCCGGGTACTCTGAGGACAGGTTCCAGCATCCGCACCCTGCTCGTGATGTGTAAATTTCTATTTTGCCCCCGCGGACCCCACGTTTCACACCAAAAGGACAAATTTTCCCCCATGGATCGAAAAGATTGACGCGGCCTCAAGGCACTTTCCCCTGGCACGGCCGAAGAACTTCAGCAGGGCCGGCGATTGCCCTGCACGTTTAGCATTTTTCGCCAGTCTGTAGGGTTCTTACGCCTGCTTTGCCTGCCGTGATTCGCCAATCCAGGACCGAAGACAAGCGTTGCCCCGGTCCAGATTTGTAAATTTACCCTCGAAATTTTTTACAGTGACTTGTTGTTGTTGCCGGTGCTCTGGCTGCTGTTGTTGCTGCCACCGCGTCGTCCTGATGATGATCCAACTTCTCAAAGGACTGCTGGGCCTCAAACGTTTATTTTGGACCGCCGCTCGTAATCTGTCCCCCGTCCGCCCGCCTGTCTGCCCGCCTGTCGGTCCGTTCGCCCGGCGCGGCGCGGCGCGGCGCGGCCCTCCGCGTGGTGCATCCCGAACCACTCCGCCCTGGCTGACTCCGAGACAGTGCCTCGTCGCTCTGTCCCTCTCGCACTCGCGGGGCGCTCCGCTGGGGTGCGAGAGAGTGGACGGGGCGCGCCACTTGGCGGTGCTTGGCTGCCAATCCGGCCTCCATTCGGCCGCTTCCGCCGGCAATTAGGAGCGAGATCCGCACTCGGCGCCGCGCGAAGTGCGAAAGCGAATGCGAATCTGAATGCGACTGCGCGGGGAACGAGGTTTGCGGCTCCAACACGGCCCTGCGCGGCCTCCAGTGGCCCTGCAGCCCTGGCCAGCGTGGCCGGGCAGGCCCAGGGCAGGGCCAGGGCAGGCCCGCACCCTCCTGATGCATGTGTAACGCTGTTAGTGATGGGTGGCGCGCCTCCCCGCCCCGCCCCGCCCCGCGCTCAAAGCATGTGAGTCAGTTTGCCGACGCCAAGTGCAGACGCGGTCCTCGGCCTTCCCCTCCGCGCCGCAGCATCCGCCGCGCACCACCCCGACGACGGCGCCCGGCCCGGCCGCCCCGCGGCCGGCTTACCTCGCGGTACCTGCTGGTGCCTGCCCGGGGCGCTGCTTGGCCTGCTCGTCGCCGCGCTCCGGTCGCGCTGCCCCCGGCGCCGCGTCGCCGCTTCGCCACTTTACGGCCTTGACGGGCGCCTTGATGGCGCCTCCTTCATTCGGCTTCGATTTCGCCTTCGCCGCTTCGCCGCGGTGCGTCGTCAGCGACCTCGCAATTCCCAGCCAGGGGCGGGGCAGCCCGTTTGGCTGGACCAAACTCGTGGCACACTTTGCGTCGGCAGTCCTCAAATGGCAACTCGAATTGAACGCGCGATGATGCCAACGGTTTGTTTCGTTCGAGTCACTGAGTTCAAAGCGATGGTTATCGACTGAACGCAACATCGCTCCCGGAAATTTCAGTGTGACCTAACCTTCGAGTGACTCAGGGCAGTATTGCTGTTTACACTGTCGGCCACTCTTTGGCCCACAACGCGCCCAGTGTGCCGCCGGTCTAAACGGCTCTTCCGGCTCGCTGTGCACGTGAACCGCGAGAGTGAACCCCCGTCCCCATTTGTGTGCCGAACGCTCGCGAACGCTTTGGCGTCCAGTGGGCCAGAGGGCCGGCGCAGGCGGCCAAAACTCTAAACGCGTTTTTAGCTCCAGAGTCGCTAAACTGGACTCGAACCGAACGTGTGACCCCACCAATGGGTTCCTCGTTCGGAGAGCAATCCATTGATGGGGTCACATGTTGGGTTCGAGTCCCATTCAGCGACTCTGGAGCTCAAAACGCGTCTAGGGTTTTGGCCGCCTGCGCTGGTCTTCTGGCCCACTGTGCGCCGCCGCTTACTTTTGGCAGGGCCGGACGGCCGGACACTCTAGGCGGCTTGGCGGCCCGATGCCGCTCGTCCGGAGACGGAGTGGCCGCGCCAGCCAGCGCCAGCCAGAGGCTTGGCCAGAGGCTTGGCCAGAGGTGTGTTCATTAGGACAGCCTAATTAATAATCTCAATCTGAGCCTGAGCCAAATATCCGCGAAGACAGATCAGCCCCGAGAGCACGGGGAAGGCGAGGGAGGGAGGGGCTCCTCCGATTAGTTGACCGTCCGTCCCTAGTTTTCTGCGGAGAGAAAATGCTTCCTTCATCTGTTTCCACCAACTTGGAACCTGGGATGCGAAAACCGAAACAGGGCGGCCTCGGTCACGACGGCCTCGGCGCCGCGTCGCGCTCCGCGATGTTCGCTTATTGATTGGCGTGGTTTGTAAAATAAGGCAGAAATAAAGCGAGGGAGGGAGAGAGGGACCGTTTAGCAACGTGGCTCGCCATCTCTCTTATTTGGTTATTGCAATATGAGGGGCGCCGCGTTGCCAGCCAGGGGAGTGAGAGAGATAGAGAGAGGAATCGGCGGGGAGGGAGAGGGCGAGGAGGGGCTGGCGATGCAGACAAGAAGCGGAAAAAATATTAAGAGGGAGAACGAGCAAGGCAGGGATAAAGGAGAGAGACGGCGACAGTGCTCGGAAATCAATTACGAGAATGATTGCGTGAGTGAGAGAGAGATAAGTCTGCAGAGAAAGAGCAGGGTGGAAAAGGGGGAGGCGGGGCGGCGGTGAGAGTGGGAGGGACAGAGAGAGAGAGGGCCTCGTTGATGAGGGTGCATGAACGGAGACGGTGTCTTTTCCTCGGCGATTCCCCTCCTCCCCTCTTTCTCTCTCGCTCCGCCATCCCTCTCTCCGTCTCTCTCCCTCCCTCCCTCTCTCCTGACTCACTGACTGTCGTTCTATCGAATTCCCCTCTCCCTTTCTTATAATGGCTTCGTCTGAAACCGATGACGCCCGAAGTAAACTCGGGAGTGATCCTGTAATCAAGCGCCCTTCCCCCTCCCCTCCCTCCTCCTTGTTCTTTCCTTTGCATCTGTCGGCTCGGCGTGTTGAAAGGCTTATTTGAATGTGAGATCAGCCCCAGCGGGCACTCCTCGG